GTAGGTCGCTTCCTATTTTACTGTAGCAGATCGAAAGCACCGGTAGTGCCCATTGAAGCTCATAGGGAACACGTATCGTTTTTTTTCTTACCCACAGATTCTGATCTTTCTTTGGAACTTCCAGTCTAAATTGCTCTCACTTATTAAAAAACGTACTCCCCTTTGTACGCTGCATGCCACATAAGCGCGTTGTTAAAAAAGCCAGCTAGCCAAATTAGTAACTTTAATATTAAACCATAAGAGACACTGACGTAGTATTTTTGAGGAAGCTGTAACTTTGGTTTGTGTCGCCCCCGTATGTAACGCTTATTGGATTTAACTCTTGCTCAAGTGTAGGCTGTAACCAGCTTGTGTATGATGAGATATGTGACAAGGAGACCCAGATTGTGTGAACTGGGATCCCTGCCGTCGCTTCCATTATTCGTTGGGTACCAAGGAGCGTGTTGGTACGCTTGGGTGTGGAATACACCGTGCCGGACTCCGGAGTCGTACCACACTTCCGGCCTTACTGACTCTATCATGACACCGGGCAAGGGTGGATTAAGGAAGAAGAAAAGTGTCAACTGCAAACTAAGTCTACTACACACAAGTCAACGCACTTGCTTTCGGCCTGCAGAAATGTGCCGTGGATATCGTCAAACTCGACTCTCGAACTGTCCTGTTGTAACACTTAATCTTACAGGCCTTTGAAAATCAGTAAATAGTTTCAGTACGAACAGAATTTGATAGTCATTTATGCAGTTCTGCGACAAATTCCTTGTGACTTGCCCTTCCTAATCATTGGATAACTCAGTAAAGCAAGATAACTTTTATAAGGACAGACCTGTTGCCGTGGTGTCCTTAGGAGAACCACCGGGTGCTTTGATCCATTCATCTCCGTTTGCCGGTTTGTACTCCACAACATAGCCTGACACTTTTCCATTACCGGTGTTGCGAGGTTTCGTCCAGGCCAATGTCACGCTGTCCGCGTCGACATCTGTAACTTCGAGGCCGCTGACTTGTCCGGGAGGAACTAAGGCAAGACGATTTTTCAAAAACACAGATTAAAACTTCGCCAAAATCTCAAGTGCGGGAAGTAGTACCATGATCTGAAGTATCGTACGTAAACGGTTTGTCGTAGCTTACCAATTGGATTTTCTGCTGTAATAGCACGATCAGCCTCCAGCGGTTCGCCAACGCCATACGGATTCTCTGCACGTACTCGGAACTTGTACTTCTTGCCTTCATCCAATCCCGTAACCTCAAATTCCGGTTGACGAACAAATTTACTGACCGGAACCCAATCTCCTGTAGTGGCATCCTGTTTTTCAACGATATAATTGGAGACGGGAGCTCCACCATTATCCTAGACAAACCAAATGATCATTGTAAGTCATAGTTTTGAATAATGTACATGCATTGATCCCATATCTTCTTCCGGAGGGATGCTTCCGCTCTCAACCATCAGCCTCTACAGCGAATTATTGAACACGGTCAACAGTAAGGAAAAATTACATAAATTCTCAAGTTTTGGCCCATTGGAGGAGACTCAGTCACATATTTAAATTCGATGAGGTCAAAATTCTCACAGGAAGTGACAATTGTGTGGACCGAGAGTCGTTTGAATTATTATTTACGGGGCCTTAGTCTATGAAGAAGTGCAGTCACCTGTGCAATCCATATTCGGTGATGAGGCTCACTTTGGCCAAAGCAATTCGTCACCCGGCGATCGCATAGGCCAACATGTCTTCTAACGCCAGCGCCAAGATGCCAGAGGGCGGAGCAATCATCACGCCCAAATCAAGCACGAAGGCTGAATGTTCACTAGGTCACGACCCGCTTGCCGGCCATCAAGGCAGTAGCGCAAGAGCAGACAAATCTTTTCGATAGGGAAGTACGTTAATTGTCATAGGTGTGTAGTAGTATAGCGACTGTATCATATAAATACCGCAACTCCCTATGTATTAATTATCCGTTGTGCTACTGTCTCCGGGAATGGATCTGCGACCGAATCCGAAACGTCAGGCGCATAAAGTTCTTGTCGCAGAGATCACATCTGCTTCTTCTTAGACTATACACCCCCAATTGATCAACTTCTATCTTCATTGTGGGGGCCTTGTCATCTTCTGTTGATCATCGTGTGGGGCTCAAATGCATTAGCAATGCAAACATCTGACTCCCTATTAAGTGCACTTTACGCGGTATCACAGTGCCACCCACTTAAGATGCGTGTTTAGACTTCCATCTTACCTAGACCGGATTTACTTGAACATTATTTTCGCGTACGATTAATTGATCGATCGAGCGGCCATTCAGTCTATCGACTGAAGTCTATTGGCTGGTTAAAGCAAAAATATGCAAACCAAGATCTCCTTATATGCGACGTAAATATGGTCTTCAACCCGTTGGCCAGATCGCAACACGTAATTCGCCTGTTTCGTATCCCCCTGCATGTCCTACCTGGGACCCTTGGTGACTACCTTGAAGAAGTCAAAAAATTCATCATGGCCTCCCTCACCTTTCTTCAGGTTTCTCTTCCTTTCTTCCATTGTTTGTCCATTAGCAACTATTTTATCATTTAGACAACAATCGGTGGAGACCGTCAATGGAATGTCTAGGAAGTGGATCCGAGACAGAGCATTCGGTTGAAACAGGCAGTATTTTCAAAATACACCACAGGACCGTGTACCCATGAGCGACAGGGCAGTCAGCCCAAGGCTCAGAGATTAGGACTTTCGACGTCTAACCAACTGCTCGTGGGTTTGAGCCGACGATATTGCAAAATATGGGATTGCGTATGGCTGCCCAATGACGCCTAATAACCCAGAAATGGCTATTCCAGTCTCCCCTCCTCCTTGTCAGTAATGTTGCTCTACCTCTAATTTTGGTGAGAGCAAGAAAAGCGTCATTCTACTACCATTAAAATACTCATCCACAATAAGCTATTTAAATAAGCACACATGCCATTGTGCAGAATTCAGCTAAGCACAACCCTTAAAAAGGCAGCCAGTAGAAGCCTTTCTCTAACATAGCTGATTTGCTCACCTTTGGTGGATTCCATTTCAAGGTGCA